CCAAACCTCAGCCGCAAGCTAGCAGCCTCAGTATGAGCAAAGGATCAAGGCGGCTACGAGCAAAACTACAGAGACGAGTGAGAAACAGAAAAAAAGTTGCTGGTGTGCTAACTGGTGAAGCCCAGTTCGGTGACGTCGGGTATCCAGCAGCAGCTCATTTCACGTCATTATTTGTGGCTCTTTCCAGGAGCACTTTCATTAGTTCAGTAGTTTAAGTGAGAGAAACTCTTGTAACTCATCAGTTTATGTTTAAAAAGATTCTTTAATTATGAAGAAAAGCTGTTTTTTTGGTTCTTAGAAACATCAGAAAGTCAGCAGGTCACATTTGGAAAACATTTTCTAAGAAAACTGGAGTCAGTGCGTCTCTGTTAATCAGCCCAGAATATTACAAATCTTCAACTTTACCATCCTAACTCGACGTTACTGCTGATGACTCTGACTCCACCCGTGAGAAAACAATAAAACTATTTACATATTTTTCCCATAAACCTTCTGTGAAGAGTTTGTGTTATTACCTGTGAAAGCTTGGACCTCAGAGGGTTGAATTCTAATAATCACATGAAATAAAAAATCCCAACGACAAACCAAACCAACTTCAAAGTCACAAATCCTTCCACCTTCGATTCAGAAGAGATTTTACTTCAGGAAGAAGAGCAGAGGAGCGATCCTTGTTTCGGGTCCCACATTCCTCTAGTTCGTCCTGATGTAACAACTGGGAATAATGCCGACTCGAGCTCCCTCGTGGTTCCAAGTTATTGTACAGGGCAGCTGCTCGGCGTCTGTGCGTGTGGTGGATTCAGCTCCCCTGCGTCTTAGTTTCGTCCTCATTGTGTGTGCAGGCGACCCGGCGGCAGCGCTGCGTCTCACCTCTCAGCTGATCTCGCTGGGCGCCGACGTGAGTCTGAGGAGCCGCTGGACCAACATGAACGCCCTGCACTACGCCGCGTACTTCGACGTCCCGGAGCTGATCCGAGTCCTGCTCAAAGCAGCCAAACCCAGAGGTAATTTCTACACCAGGCAGTGTTTCAGTGATCGTTCTGAAGGTAGCAGGAGGTGAGATTCTCCTTCTGTGTTCTCCTCAGTCCTGAACTCCACATGCAGCGATTTCCACTATGGTACGGCTCTCCACATCGCCGCCTCCAACCTCTGCCTGGGTGCAGTCAAATGTCTGCTGGAGCACGGAGCCAACCCCACCGTCCGGGTAAGGACAGCTTTCCTTACTTACTACTGGGGGCTAATTAAATGGGCTCATCTGCAGCTCCATGTTTGTTTGTTTTTAATTCATGAATTAACGTAGCTTTGCATAATTTTCAGTTCAAAGTAATCCTTCTTTACCTTGTCCCAATCCTTGGTGCAGACCCTCAGTTCTTTTTAATTCTGTAACAAGCCTTTTTAGCTTCTGCAGAACTCACCTCTGATTGGCTGATCCAGTCTGTGAAGGTCTGAACTGCAGGTGGAGGATAAGGATAACACGACTGCTTCATCTCCTAGAGTTTTTTGTGCTGCTGTTCCTTTAAAGCTGAAATCCAGAGCCCCTTAATGGTGATTTATCGTCTCAATCTGGCTTTCTGACTTGTTTCTGCAGAACGATAAGGGTCAGGTTCCAGCAGAGGTGGTTCCCGACCCAATGGACATGAGCCTGGACAAGGCGGAGGCGGCAATGGTGGCCAAAGAGCTGAAGCAGCTGCTACTGGACGCCGTTCCACTGAGCTGCAATCTTCCCAGAGCCACGCTGCCCAACTACGACAACATCCCAGGAAACCTGATGCTGGCCGCTCTGGGGCTGAAGCTGGGAGACCGCGTGGTGCTGGACGACATGAAGGTCAGACACGCTGAGGTCAAACTGGGAGAAATTGACGGACGTTGAAACGACAAATCTTCTGTATTTCTGCATAAACATGACCTAAAACATCACGGTGCTGAACCTCTGAACATCCACCAGGTCGACAGTGACCTCTTTAGGGTTAGAGGTACAGTTTGGTTCACGTCTACTCACTTACATGATGTTTGTGCTCATATGCAGACGTGCAACAAAAGAATTCGTGTAAGACACTAGATTTGGAAGGTGGCATCTTCTAGTTTCTGAGCCGGTGCTTGTTCAGCGTGTCGCTCACATGCAAACTACCCCTAAGATGTTCTGTGGCAGCCTGGTGGATGGAGGTCAAGGAGACGCAAAGAGATGCAAGTACAGGAA